GCTTCTGAGGAGGAAGAGTTGGACGATGACGATTTCTGAAAAGTATGCGTATCGCTGTGATGGAGATCTGTAGCCTTGGATGTAAGAGCTGCGAGTTGTGATGGGGATGGGGATGGTGTTTTTGAAGAGGGGGAGAGTTGGGGCACAATGGTATGCCAGAGCGCGATAGGTTGGCATACGAAGTTCGACTTCGGGTCAAATGACACTTTGGTTGGTAGCTGGACCTTATGGATTACAGCAGGCAGTTCTGCTTTTGAAACGGAAACAACAGGTTCTGGGATGTCCCGAGCGAGGCCCTTCGTCTGTTTCTCGCTCTTTTGAGATTGTCCCGCTTTTTTCGTAGGTTCCAACTGAGATTGGGACTTGTCCTTATGAGAGTCAGATTTCTTTGGCTTATTTGTAGACTTTTCAGCCATTCGTGGCGTTTTCTTCCCCGCCTGCCGAGGTTCGTTGTTCGCCTTCAATTCTGTAAGGAACTTGATAACATCCTTCGATATTATAGGCTAAGATTTTTGATTGCAGTTACTGAATGGGGGAGATGGGACTAGGGTTGCAAACATACGTCTGTGCTAGACCCTCCTCCCTTGGTGTCATCATTAATGTCCTTCAGGAGGTCAAGATCATCTTGGGTTCCTCCAAGTGCTAATACATGTTTCTTCGAGAGTGCATCCCCTGAACTTCCACCGGCCGGTTTTTTGTAAGTGGGTTTTTCTTTTGATGTTCGTGAGCCTCCTTTCTCTTTTCGGAGGCGCGCCATGGAATTAATTTCAATCAAAAACTTGGGGGATCGACTGAAGAGATGCAAAAAAAAATGCAGTTCCACGTGACACAGCATTTTGAGTCCAATCTCGACATCCCATCGTGCACAGTCCCCAGTCTCACGCGCACACCCCCTCACAACCCAATGTCCGAAAGTGCTCTTACAAAGTGCGCTTCATCGATTCAAACCCCACCCCTAGGTACAAAAAGTTAAAGGTAATCCCCAAAGGCCCTACAGAAGAGCCGCCTAGAACGCTACTCCGCCGCCTGAGATAACGTACGTGCCGAGATATCTCCCAACCTTAACGTCACAAGATGATTAGGTTTCTTGAGGTGTGTGTGTTGCTCGGCTTGATAGCTTCATAATGATAGCGTTTTAGATGGCCAGATACTATATCGAACAAGTGTTTGCTGCGGACCAACTCTCCAGGCTGACCGTCTCCGGCCGTTGCCTAGAAATTCTGAGTTCAACGATAAAAGTTGCGAGTGTCAGTATATTCATTACTTTGCCACACGTTGGGGAACACGCCATCAGTCTTACTCAAAGTACAATCTTACTTCAGCTGGACTTAAGCATTGCCGGTGAGTGGTTAGGCGCAGATAGCTCGGTGATGTTGTGTGAGTTTATTATTGTCATAGAATACAGCCGAACCCTGCCCTCGTCGTGCCGACCCAAAGCAAGGGTAAAGGTTCGTGATATGGTATTGATAAGTCTTGTTACTTGTAAAGGACGCTTCGTTGTGTCATCTTACCGAGCAATAAACGATAGAATTGCGGGGTTACCTACTTTATGAGTATATATGAAGTGATCCGTGGGTCGTTCGACGACGGGGTCTGTAACTCATGCGACCATCAGTGTTAGTCCCGTGACTGTGGCCCTGGCTCGTATAAGGTCAGACTTCGAAACTTCTCCTACTTTACGCCCACCACCTCGAATGGTCCCAGCTCCTGTGTCAGCAAGAAATGTTTATCCCCACTCATCCCGTCTTCTCTACACTCTTCTCTCCTTTAGTTTCCAGGTTTCCCCACATTTCATTCGGAATGCCATCAACCACAACGATGGCGGCGTGCTGGCAAAACGAGAGGAGGGCTTCAACCCTCACCGGCGAGAGGATATCGTGTTCGCGGTCCTCATACCCATCCTTGTGCTCCTTTCTGGTGTGTTTGCCGGATTAACACTGGGGTATATGAGCTTGGATGAAACTCAGCTTAATGTTTTGAGTATCAGTGGAACGCCGTATGTGTATCAGCGACTCAGAGAATGTTACATAACTTATAATGAGGATGCCCCGGATTCAATAGAAAGCAGCGAGAATACGCAAATAAAATCAAGCCCATCCGAAAAAACGGTCACCGTTTGCTCGTCACTCTGCTGCTTGCAAACATGATTGTGAATGAGTCTCTCCCCCTCATTACGGACCGTGTACTTGGCGGTGCCTTCCAGAGTGTTGTTATTAGCACGGTCCTCATCGTTATGTGAGTAGCCTACCCGTCGCCACACATCCAGTAATTCCTTCTGCTCCCTGCACTCCATTGGTATATGTCCGCCGTTTCTTTAACGTGGAAGCCCCGTTCCTACCCATAATTAGGGTTTTCCCTTCATTCTCCCCCACTAGGGATGGCTGTGTCTTTGCGATGATGACGTCACGCGTTCATATCTTTAGGCTTCCTCGATCGTGTTTGATATAAAGTCCCAAGTCCCTTGGCAGGATCTGTTTCTTGGCAACCTCGGTCCGCCACAGGCATACAAATCCATCTTATTCTTTCCAGTTTTGCAGAAATTATTCCTCAGTCTTTGTTCACTCGCCATGGTCTATATTTGGGTGCAAAGATGGCCGGCTTCACTCAAATTCTCATATATTTCTTGGTGAGCTCTGGAGGGTTTTATTTTATCAGCTGTAGGCTAATCAGTTCATTCAGGGTATCATAGCATGGCCTGTTGCAAAGCTGCTAGAATTAGTCCTAGGTGCACATCACGGCATCATTTATCGAAGGGCGGAACTCAAAGAACTTATCGCAATGCACTCATCACATGGGGCACACGGTGGTGACCTTAAAACTGACACCGTCACTATCATCGGAGCGACTCTGGATTTACAAGAAAAAGTCGTCAAACAAGTAAGTATATAAGTTCATCAGTGTACGGATGATCATGTTAAAATCATTACTTAAGGCAATGACGCCAATCAGTGACGTCTTCATGTTATCTATCGATTCAAATCTGGATTATGACCTTCTCAAAAAGATTTGCCAGACAGGGCACAGCCGTGTACCTGTATATGAAGAAATTGATGTTCCCGTATCTATCCAGGAAAAAGATAACGATGGGGATACGGCACCGCGGATCCAGAAGATGAAGAAGATTCTTGGAATATTACTCGTCAAGCAGTGTGTCTTGTTGGATCCCAAAGGTATACACATCCAGTTTATCAATTCTCGTCACTAATACATCCAGATGCCACGCCTCTCCGTAAAATACCTCTCAACAAAGTCCCATTCGTACCCAATAACGAGCCCCTACTGGGAATTTTGGACAAATTTCAGGAGGGGAGAAGCCACATGGCTATCGTCAGCCGGTTCAGTGTCGAGAAGGTGGCTTTTCACTTCATACCTATCTCCACCCTTTTTAACATTATATAGGCTGCGAGCGTCAAGAAAGCAGTCAAGCGTGGATTGACACAACGTTTGCGAGAACGTGTTGGTATGGGCGATTCAGACTCGAGTGATGAGGAGAAAGAATCTAGTAGGAGAAGCGATGACGGCGAAGAGACGATGGAAGATGGCACATCAACCTTGAAAGGCGATGCCCTATTAGAACTGGATCCTTCAGGCGAAAAAGTGAACGGCAGCAAGTCAAAGTCGGCCGATAGCGCCAAGCGGGGAGGATTTAGAAGTCGCATGAAGAGGAAAGTTGATGGGGATATAGAGATGGGCACAATTGACGAAAGGAAAAATGATGGGAAGATCACTGATGGAAAGAAGAGCAGGAGAACAAGCTTTCAGCTTCCCAAGGCTGCGGCTAGTATGACGTCCATGTCCATGTTGGAGCAGAGCATGCCCGCGGATGCGGTTTTGGCCAAAGAAGGCGCTGAAGAGGTGAGCGCTTGATGCATCTTCATAATTCTCGTTTAATCAAGTATTTGGGTCTCAGTTTTTGCAGAATTTCGACCCGGCCGTTATGCCTCTCGGCATCATTACCCTTGAGGATGTCCTCGAAGGTGGAACCGTTCCTCTTTGTGTGTCTCTCGAAACACCGACTTAACGGACTATTTATTGCAGAATTAATTGGAGAGGAAATCTACGACGAATTTGACCCACAGGGCGCACGAGGAGATCCTTACGAGGTCCCTGAGAAAGACACCCAGCTTCCAGAAACTGTAACACAGAAGTCAGAAGCGGCGGCTATCCCGAAAACGACACCTCCTTCTCTTCCCATACTTATGCCTACAGCACTCAAGAATTTCGGGGGCTTGGGATTTTTACGGTCGAGAAGTGCTCCGCCAATTCCCAGAGACACAGATGTAAATCCAGATACTGATGAGAATGATCAAGGCAACGAATACACCAAAAAGTATGAAACATCAGTCATACCCCAAACTGATACAACTGAGACGTCGAAGCCGGACGCAATGTCAGAGCGACTGGTGCCTTCAATCGTGGTTGAATCCTATAGTGTGGCGCCGGAACACAGCCTGACATCACCAACGGAGATAAACTCAGAAGTAAATGCAGAAGAGAAGAATAAACCGCTACCTCTTGGGCACTCGATTTCTAGTCCAGTTGCGAGAACTCCCCTAGCTCCCCTAGAGGCCGTCCTGCTAGATCGCAAGCGACGATTGGTTGGGACTGTGAGTGCAGCACCCTCCGCCGTGGCTTCTACCGCGAGCTTGGGTGGTGGTGCTGGATCTAGCGTACCCACCGCGATTGCAGTAGCCCCTTCAAGGTCAATCCTCACTGCGAAAGGAGCTAGATTTAAGAGTAGCCCTTTGGGAGGCATGGAGAGGACAGGAGTTGTTGCCGAGAAGGTAAGGGAAGACTTGGATGGTGATGCTCAAGACGAACGGAATAACCGATTTACTACCTGGAATGATTGAGAATTGTTAATAGCAATGTAGCTGTAATGATCAACATTTTCTTGGAGACTTCTAGTGTATTAAATATATATGTATGTACAAAATATCCAACATCATTAAAAGCAACTCTTGTGCATGTTGAAGTGTGTCGCAATAATAATAAAATGATACACCGAACGGGAATCGAACCCGTGCCGCTTGCTACCGTTGAATTATGGAAGGCAAGCATGATAACCACTTCACCATCGGTGTTCTGCTAAGAGAAGTTTTATGTGACATTGGATAGGTCTCATACATTTTCGTGGATGAAAGCCACCTGGGTCGACTTTGTTAGTTTAGATTTGGCTGATTATAATTATAAAATAAGGATGAAGTAAGGAAAAAATTGAACTATGAGTATTGAGTAACGCCCGAGCGGAAATTAATATTATTCGTATAGTCAAATCGGAGTCTCTGCACTACTCAGCCCGCAAAGGCCCCGGGTGCAACATCAACTCCCAAGTTTGCCTTTGCAAAACCCCTCATAGACCGTTCCATCTCGTCTTCGAACCCAAACCCAGGCCGAAGACCCAGCAACCCTCGAACCCATTGTGTGAGCCTGCTTTTCCAGAATGCTATATCAAGGGATAGCATGATACCACGGAAAATAAGGTGATGCCAGTATTCGCGTGCCCGCTGTGTAAAAGAGATGTTTGGGATTTGTGAGAGCGAACGAGAAGCCCAGAAACCGGTTATCTTGATACGGTTAACAGGGGAACCCAGAGATTGATTATTTCCTGTATTGTCTATTGATATGCTTATTCTAAAATTGTTGTGAAAATAGGCTCACCTTGTACCATACTGCGAGGATGAGTGAAATCATGAGGGACGATAATGAGAGCTGATCACAGGAAAGAAGACTAACCGCATGTTCCGCATTAAGAATATAAGGGCCTTGGGCATCCTGTCTGTATCCTTCAAGAAACCCTTAAGCCGCTTCTTCATAAGTACGCTCATCTCGTATTGGGTCATTGGTTTTCTTTGCAGCTCAGCAATCTGGTCCTTTTCTATCTCTTCTCGATTCAGCTTCTGTGCTGCCGTTTCCCCTTTTCGAAGCCTTATAGGCTTCATCAACGTCGCGCTCGCCAACAGGTCAGGCATTCCCATCCCCCACTCCTTCGTTACTTTTTCCACAGAATCAAAATCCCCAGCGAGCATTCCCCTCCACAAATCGACCCACTGCTTTTTGAAATCATCCTCCACACCAACATATAAGCCATGGTCGATCAATACTAACTGCGGTATCCCAGGCCTTGTGGGATGCGGGCGGATAATAACGTTTCCCGGATGAGGATCGCAGTGCACCCAACCCCAATTAAACATCTGAGCGCTAAATAATTCTACCATGACCTGCATGATGGCTTTTACGCCACCCTTAAGAGGCGCGGTGTGTGATGTTGTTGTTGGGGATGAAGAGTTATATTCGCCCATTAATTCTCGGATTGACGATCGATCGCTGAGCCGGATGCCTTCAATCCATTCCGCAGTCATCACCTTCTTAGTAGAGTATTCCGGATAGACCTTAGGAATGTATACATTATCCGCCAGTCTTGGCTCTGCCTTAACGAATTCTGCTGTTCTTTGTGCGTTCTTTGCCTCTTCTTCAAAGTCAAGCTCTTTCCTGAGATGGTCCGAAACAAAATCTAGAAGAATTCGGTGTATGAACTGACGTCGGTTAAATATCCTGCTCACCGACAACAAAGTACACAGGGAGATCAAACGCCCAGTGCTCAAACATCCACATAACAACTCGGTATGCACCCAAATCCCACATCATTTGGGTCGCCACATCAGGCTTCTGGACCTTGACCGCCACCCACCTTTCTCTATCATCTCCGTCGATCGGCCATAGCTTTGCCTTGTGGACTTGGGCAATGCTGGCACTCGCTATGGCGTCTTGTTCAAAAATCTCGAATACACCTCCCGGGCCGGAAGGTGGACAGCCAAGCTCAGACAAAAACACTTGTTCTACGATCGAATAGGGAATTTGGGGGGCGTCGTCGAATAATTTAGCGAACTTTTCTTGCATTGCTTTAGGAAGAAACGCCGCATTTGCCCCAATAGCTTGACTGTTCCAGTAGGTTAGAGGCTGGGCTACGAAGATAAACAGGTTGCATACCCAATTTTAATGTAAAGGCCTCCATTAGCTGTGAATAAATTGTACATTCTATTTGCCACCCGCTCGTGGAGCTCGGGTATAAGTTCGCTCTTCTCGGGTGTAAAATTCCATTTATAGTCTAATGTAATAGCGGCACACTGGGATATCGGTGAGAGACCATTTCACCGTCCACGAAACAAATACTCACTGTCCATAATGTTCTGAAGTTCCGCGAGATGGCAGAAGCGTTAAAGGCCTTGTCTCCAGCATAGAAGGCTCCAATTCCGGCTACAATATAGCCTGTTCTTCGGGCATATTTAGTCAACCGAGATATAGGTCGCGGAAGCGGTACTTCCGTGGTCGATAATTGTCGAGATACAAGCTCGGGTATGCTCCGTTGTGGCGTTGAGCGCAGAAGACGGTGCACAAATGGTCGCCCTAACATTCGAGTGCACGGTATTGCACTGGGTATCGTTCGGACGATGTTACTATATAGGTGCTAGTGGGAAGTGGGAGGATGAAGGAGAGAATTGCCGCGATTATTTCGCGGGCATTGCAGGCGTACGATCGTCGCCGATTAACTTGTTTTTTTTTCGCCGAGAACGTCGAAAGTTTGCTGGCATCGCTGCCGCACATGACGCGTTCGGCAGTCTGATGGCCTTTGATCCAAACAATGTCAAGCTCGGTCTCAATTAGGGAAATTTCTCCGCCCCGGGCCCTTTTGCGCTTTCCTTTCAACTTCAGACACGAGGTTAACGGCTGTATCAAGGTATCAGTTCGTCGTGAATTGAATGACATCGTATCATCGAGCGAGGCAGAACCTCAACCACCCCGTGGAAATCTTATAGCAAACAACTGTCCGAATTCAGAACAAGGACAACTTCGCACTTCTTGCCTTTTCGAGCGTTTCGTTTGTCGTATCCCCAAATGAGGCGCAAATTTCTCCTCGAATCCGGTTTTGATTCTAACCGAATACAAGCGAATGGAAGAAACCGATTTGATAGTGGTGTTAATCAAGGCGACCCGCTTGTCTACCCACAGGGGAACCCACAAAGCTCATCTAATTGATCCACGATTTTCCCAGATCTCGCAAAGACTGCATCATCCAAATTCCCCTGCCAACATTACTTCGCGACATCATATCCTCTTTTGGGCTTTGCCTTGTCCAAATTCTTCATTATAAACCTCTTATGACTCTCTTCGGACCCTCAGTTCGCTCAATAGCTCCTCTATTGTCCCTACCTCCATTATTCGAGTCATCCACATATCCCTCTTCGGCAACCAACTCGAAAAATGCACTCTAAATTCATTGCCGCTTTTGTCATCTCATGCAGTAAGCTCTATGTTCTATCATGTTAAATTGCGATATTCATGTTCTCTGTCAGTGACCGCATTTGTCTCTGCCTCTCCCGTCCCTATTTCTCCTCCCCTTGACGTCGAGGCTCGCAACGATAGGGTAAGATCAGCTATTTTGACCGACATGTACTACAGCTAACATTTTCCTTCTAGCACTATGCATTACCTCGCGAAGCCGAAGCCCTTGCAGCAGTTGTACGAGAACCAACACCGGAGCCTGCACCAGAAGCAGACCCCGGATGCCGATGGCAATGTATCTGAAAGGTTAATATCATTTCTAGTATAGATGAAACAAGATACTCATTTCCATCCCCACTTAGTCCCGTGCACAATACTTGAGGCTTGATGCCCTCACGTATATATCAAAAGCCCTCACCGACCGCCTTGCGCCACACTCATACTACTCTTCCTTTTGTCACAACTTAGTTCGCCTCTCCCGCCCGTTTCCATGGGACGCGATTCACACTCTTTTGCATCATTTTTATCACCACTCTGGGTTCTTGTGTTGCACATATTTTCCCTAGAACCAACTAGGTTGCTATCTTGCCTTTCGACTACATACTAATCGGCTTCGTTGTCTGTATCATTAGAATCTGGATCTGTATTTCTAGCTTCCTGAATATATCGATATCTGCACAGTTCGTGCTTCCACTGAAAGTGTAGAAGCTCAAATGCATATCTATCACACATACTCTTGCCTTGTTTATAATCAAAGCGGATTAACCACTGTCATGGTCGTATAACCCGAATGTTACTTCATACCCAACAAGCACATATATAACTTCCAGCTACTTCTATTAAAATTTCATCTTTAACTTGGAGGGCGTTACCTAAAAATTTCTTGAACCAACAGGATAGGAGGGCCCTCTGAAAAAAATGGAGGGTGCTAAACTCCCAATGGTTAGTACTGATTCAGAGCTTGCAGGATTCTTGGCCTAGATGGAAGTTGATCGAATTCATGATTTCCTGAAGAATGCCGTCAATGTCGCGAACGATTTGATTTCGGACAAAGGCTTTGCCTTTATAGGTCAAGCGCTCGGGGTGGACGTTCCGGGCAGCTTCCGCTTCAAGCATGAGCAAGCCGAAGACCACGTGGAGACCAACACAATTTGGTGCCAGTAGCAAAGAGCACTCATGCAAATGCTGATTTCAATCAAACGACCTTAGCTATGCTCCCTGAAACCCTCCTCTGTTTGTTAAACGCTGCCTTTGTTCTAGCGCAGACAAGGCAAAGTATCCCATTGAACCAGGTAACCCCCTTCACCCCCTCGAATTTACCGAACCCACCTATATTCACAATACCCTCGGCAAATACCCTTTCAATATCAGTTGCATTGTGCACTGCAAACGGGTCACCTCGTTTCTTCGTCACCAATAGTTCAGCCGTCGACGACCCAGGCCCTGGTGGGGGGAGGGATGTGTTCGAGATTCCAATAACTGGCGGCCATGGTAACTGGACAGGCACATTCAAAGATGGTGGGACATTATCAGTAGTAGATGGGAGACAGACATCATTTGAACTAGGGGTGTCAGACGATGGAGGTGAATTCTTCGCTCGGTAATTGAAGTTCTCATCCTCTAATGTAACCTATGGAACAGATCGTCCAATACATGAAGTGGTGCCAGGTTTACCTGTTTTGGGGGACACGACGTCAAACCAAGCTATCATCTTCTCTGCGGCGTTCAACAAACCACTGATTCAGCCGCCATCATATCCAAACTATACTCTCCCGCCTGCAAATCAGTCCCTACCCAGCCC